ATAAGTTGCTAACGATTAAGGCAATACCTTAAAAATGTTGCAGTATATTTTAAAATAATAATATGAAAAATTAAAAATAATGATTATATAGTTTTAATAAATATTTACAGACAACTTTCATATGATATGTATCTAAATTTGAAAATAAAATAGCTAAAAGGGATAATGAGAGGGTAAAATGAGAAAAAGTGCAGATTAAATAGGCAGATATGTGTAGAGATATTAAAGTCTCAATGGGCTTTTATAAATGAGAAAATAACCTTAGTGATAAAAAATGTCTTATAATATACGATTTTAATTAACTTTTTTTGGATTTGCCAAAATGACCAACTAAATCGTAATGTGATCGATAATTCGCAACGCGATCTCCGGTATCGCAAATCAGTTTCCAGATTCGCAACGCAATTCTGACTATCGCATTGCGATTTCCCAAATTCGCGTTGCGATTTTCCTAATTCGCAATGCGAATACGTAAATCGCAACGCGAATTTGGAAAATCGTAATGCGATTACGTAAATCGCAATGCGAATACGTAAATTGCAATGCAATTACGTAAATCGCAATGCGAATCTGACTATCGCAATGCGATTTACATAGCGCCATTCGTATTAACGCGTATTTTTTTTTCAAATTCCAAACACGAATATATTAATATATCGGAACACTGAACCGTCCACAGTATATCTCGTAATCGTAACTTATAACCTAAAACCCTAAATCACAACTCAGTCTCATCTCCATCTCTCACTCTCTAAGGCGACATCCGTCTCCATCTCTGACAAAATCAGTTCCCACGACGATAACAGTCTCCATCTCCGGAGAAATCATTCACGGTCAGAAATGGAAAATCAACAAAATCAACCACCGATGGTTAGTTTTTTTAAATATTTTTATTTTGAAATTTTTGCATTATTATTAGGTTTTTCATATTGAAATTGATGATAAGTTTACTGGTGTTTTCAATAATAGATTAACCATTTCACTTAAATTGCTTATTATATTCATTCGATTGCTGTCAATACTGCTAAATTGTTTAGTCTTTAACCCTGTGAAGTTAGTATTTGTCTTTGTTTTGTCTTTTGGTTGAAGTAATGCAATCCATTCAAGTTTCTTTCAATTTTAGTATTTGAAACCGAGAATGACTATCGCAACGAGTGAACCGCAACGCGAAAATGACTATCGCAATGAGAGAATCGCAATGCGATTTTCATTTCGCGTTGCGATAGTCATTTTCGTGTTGTGATTTTCATTTTCGTGTTGCGATTTAAAGTTTCATAAACTATTCTTCTTTTGCAAATTGAAACTTGAATGAATTGCATTACTTCAACCAAAAAACAAATACTAAATTCACAATGTTGCAAATTTAAGTTTGAAGAATAAACTACTACTCTTTATATTTATTGTTCATATCTTCACAGTGTAGTTTTTGGTATATCTAAATTGGTATGTTTATTGTTTTTGCAAAACTTTTATTCGGCTCAATTGACCTTAAGAAATAAAGTAAGCCTGGCCAAAACAATTGTGTCGAAGCTTTCACCTGCACAAAAAAAATATTTGAGGATACTTGCTTCGAGCCATGGCTGAAAGTACAACATCCGGGTGGAGATGCTATGTTGACCCATCTGTTTCTTCAAACCATGACTAGCGATCTACCAGAGACTATACAACGTCGTGATGAAGAGATATGGTTTGATTTTCCACCGGCGTATATGTGTTTTGGGCGGGAGGAGTTTTGCTTAATCATCGGTCTACACTTCGGACACGATGATGTAGATCGGTACACTAGACATATTACCCGCCTATCATGGTTTTCTTGGGTTTTTCCTGAGCAGTCAACGGAGAAGTTGAATTTACACGTGGAAGACTTGACGAGATTATTGAATAAGAAAAATGGTTTTACTCGGATGGATGACGTCGATGTTGTCTGAGTATGCCTTCTAATACTTTTGCAAGCCGGCTTTTTAGGCAGAGAGGCCCGACAACCTATTCCTAATGATCTAATTAAATTGGTAGAGGACCTAAATGCATGGAACCTATTTCTGTGGGGTTCGTATCTATGGAGAGCTACATGGAATAAGTTGTCGTCTGCCTTTAATGATCGGAAAAGTTTGCGTGGCGATGGTTCCAAATACACTTTGTCAGGCTTTATTTGGGCCTTTAAGGTAATAATTTTTATATAATGTTTCCAAAATTATAATTAATTCTTTAACAATTATTAATGTTTGTTATTATATTGTTTGTAGATTTGGATATTTGAGGCCTTTCCCGCCATGCAGACATATGCATTAAGAACTTCTAATGATATTCCTAGGGCTATTTCCTGGAAGAGGAAACGGTCCTTGCAGCAATGGGAAGATTTACTATCGTATACTACAATAAACAATGTAAGTTAACACAAATACTACCATATGTTTATAAACAAGTTATTACTAGTACACGTTTAACTTTGTTTGAGCTTTTATATTGTTAGGAGGCCAACACTCCATTACAGAGGCTGACACCCACGGAAGCTGAGCTTGCCACTGATTGGTGGCAAGCTAGTAAGCTTTTTTTTTTATGGTACGGATGATGAGCAGCCACCACTTCGAGAGCCATCACCTCACCCAGAGCCATCACCTGATCGACCCGAATATATACCTCCACAACGAGAGTCATCACCTATTCTGTCACATCATCGAGCCTCTTCTCCACCATCACCTCATGATAGGCGACCGGCAAAGATGCCACGACGTTTATCTCCCTGTTCTCCACCTCCACCTCCATGGGATGAGTTAGGGGAGTTACGTAATGAGGTCAATGCCTTGCGTGAGGAGGTCGGTACTTTACGCGATGACAATGGTACATGGCCTGTTGAGGTGTCTACTTTACGTGGTGAGGTAGCAGCTCTACGTGAGATTGTAGCATCGTTGTAGAACGAGGTTCATACTCTACGCAACGAGGTAAGTTTAATATTTTTCATATATTTAACTTGATGATAAATTTACTCGTAATTTCACTTAGATTGCTTAGTAAATTTATTTTGGTTGCTCCCAATACTGTTTAACTGTTATTCTTTAACCCTGTGAAGTTAGTATTTGTTTTTGGTTGTCTTTTGGTTGAAGTAATGCAATCCATTCAAGTTTCAATTTGCAGAAGAAGAATAGTTTACTATCGCAATACGAAAATGACTATCGCAACGCGAAAATGACTATCGCAATGCGAAAATGACTATCGCAATGCGAATTTAACTATCGCAACGAAAGAATCGCAATACGAAATGAAAATCGCATTGTGATTCTCTCGTTGCGATAGTCATTTTCGCATTGCGATAGTCATTTTCGCATTGCGATAGTCATTTTTGCATTGTGATAGTCATTTTCGCATTGCGATTCTCTCGTTGCGATAGTCAAATTCACATTGCGATAGTCATTTGCATATTCTATTCTTCTTCTGCAAATTGAAACTTGAATGAATTGCATTACTTCAACCAAAAGACAAATACTAACTTCACAGTGTTGAAAATTTAAGTTTCAAGAATAAACTACTACTCTTTATGTTGTCATTGAACCTGCACTAAACCTATATGTTGTCCTTTTAAATGTTTATATAAGTGCTTACTTCTGGAATGTTATCTGATGCATTTTGTGAATAATGATATAATAATGACTTGGGTGAATACCGTGCAAGTTTGAAATATATTTGTCTTTATTCTCACTGTTTAATAGCATGTCTGTTTATTTACTGATTTATGTATTAATTTATTTTTAGCGGCCCGCTAAGGTGGATGCTCTACGTCGGGTTTTTCTTGCAAGACGGAGTTCACGCATCAGACGGCGTGCACGTGTCATTACGTCTCCGTTCACCCCAATAGTGCGAAGAATCCGTAAGAAAAAGCCCGACTCACCTGCCATCGTTCAAGAGGCCTCCCCTATCGTTCAACAGGCCCCTATCATCCCTCAAGAGTCCCCTCCCACCGTTCAAGAGGCCACTGTCATCGTTGAAGAGGTCCCTCCCAACATTCTAGAGCCCGATTCACACGGCGTAATATATCAAATTATTGAGAAGCCCCCTCACGTGCCGGACATGATGGATGACTGTTGGCTTTCGTATAAGTTACCGGCCAGTACCATTCCGGCAGATGAAGTGGAGAGAAAACAACTACCGGAAATAATTCTGGATAATACCCTTTGGGCTAAGACCGCAGTTGATTTTTATCTACATGAGCGGAGCCAAGGGTGTTACGCTGACATATACAAACTCAACGATGATATGCATTTGTTGATTGAACGATCTTGTTGGGGTGTATTATTAGGGGTTGAAGACAATGACTATTTCGATGGGGGGTAAGTCTTATATATCTTATATTTCAGTTTGATTAATTTTTTTTAAAAATTTATGTAATTCACTAATATATGTCTTTTTTTTGTAAAACAACATATTGATGCATGGGTGACACGTCTTCTAATTGTAAGGAAATTGAAGAAAAAATATTAAAAAAACGCGACATACAATTATGTCGACGTCTTTTCACGTAGTTCACTTGAAGAATCAACGACAGGAATCATATGTGTTGGCTAATGGACAAGACAAACTTTATCCTGCATGGTGGGAGGTCGATAAGGTTAGTATATTTGTTTAAATATTTTAAAGGTGTTCATAAATAAGTGCACAATTTGAATTATTACATTTCGATGCAGGTGTTTATCCCTGTTTTAGACCGTACTCATTGGCTTCTCGTCGAGCTTCAGCTCCCATACCTAAAGACAATAGTATATGACAGCATGATAAATTACATATCATTGTCTGATTTGAGAGATATGATTAAGGGATGGAGCTCTCATTTGGCTAAATTCTTGGATGCATTTGATTATTGGGCTAAGTCTGGAAACAAGAAGCCAAAGAAGTTCAATGTTACAGTTATCAAAGATGAGACCGCGCCACAACAAACGAAGGAAGTCAGAGGGGATTGTGTTCCTCTCGTATGCATGTGCTTGGAGCGTTTGACGATAGGAAGTACACATTTTCTACCTCCTACCGATAGAGATAGAGGTGCATTAGGCTTGTGGTTTCGGCATTTTATGGCTAGAGCGATATATGCGAGACGCTGCCTACCTGCATCCGCGTTATGAAAGTGTCCATAAACAATTTGTAAGTCAAATGCAAGTGTTGTTAAATATATTTACTCTTTTTGGTTTGGAAATATTTGGTTAAGTAGCTAGAATTCAATAATTTCCTGTTTGTAGGTTTTAGATGTGTAGAAAGTGTTGTTGATTCAATGTTTGGTTTCTGCAGGTTAATCCTGAAGTGAGCTGCGTGAAATGGATGTATGGGTGCAAAAGTTGATTTCATTATTATTTTTTGATTGTTTAATTGATTTGTAAAAGATGATTTTTAAATGTTGATTTGTTTAATTGATGTGTACATAATATTTGTGCTTGTTTAATTGATTGAAATGTAATAGTTGATTTTTTTATTTCAATCTGCATTATGTTGAATGCAAAACAGACTATCGCAACGCGGAAATGACTATCGCAACGAGAGAATCGCAATGCGAAATGAAAATCGCAACGAGTGAATTGCAATACGATTCTCTCGTTGCGATAGTCATTTCCGCGTTGCGATAGTCAATTCCGCATTGCGATAGTCATTTCCGTGTTGCGATAGTCATATTTGCGTTGCGATAGTCAAATGAATGTCTAATAAGTGATAACAACTGAACATATCATAGCAATGTTCAAACTCAAGTTACTAATACATGCCTAACTGAAAATGTTAAAAGCTCACACATAATACAACATTTGCATTTAAAAATCACCTAAGTTAACAGTCCCAAAAGGTGAAGCCAGTTGTGATTGGGATTTTGATGAGGATCCATATTTTGGTAGAGGAAAAGATGATTGTGATGGCACTGGTGATCCACATGTCAACCTTGTATGACCACTTTCCTTGCACCGACTACATGTCGATCTCTTCTTCTATTCACCCTTAGACGGTATACGATCATGACTTTTTTGGTCGGCCAGGTAGCCTTCTGTCCATGGCTGGTGGCAAAACTGTTTGTAAGTCATCTGGTATGTCCCACTCAGAAGGATGTGGAATAGGGTAGACAATCTCGCCATAAGTCTGTCGATTTACTTCTGTAGTGTAGCAATCCATAGTGTATGCGCTTGAATCATCTTGGTTTAGATGAAGAGAAAATTTTATAACATGGCCACACGGATAACCAGATGTTTGCCATTTCATACAACTACGCGTCTTTGCATTTAGATCGACAAGCCCATTTAATTTAATATCCAGTATTTCAAATAAAGTGTTTGAACATGGTTCAACTCTCCATGACGTTGACTTCACAACACGTTTCGTTATCTTTTTTTCTGTCCATGGTGTAACACAATGTTCCAATGTTCCTGTAAATTTAAATAAATAATACTTAGTAAAATATATGATAAGTTACGAATTTAAAGAAATAATACCTGCATGGTTTCTTTTCTTGTAGTACCACTGTTGAATAGAGGCTCGAAAAAACTCCATTAACATAGTAATGGGTAATTTCCGGGAATGACGACTTAGAGCGTTGATTGATTCTGCACTATTAGACGTCATGAAACCATATCTTGCTCCAAGTTGATGTACTCTTGACCATCTTTCAAACCCGACATCTTCTAGTGTTTGAGCACACTGAGGCAAAACACGTCTTAAACAGTTTATATGCTTATTAAAATCCACTTCCCGATAAGCTTTTACAGCCTTCCAGTATGTCCATTTGTGATTTTTTATACCAGCAGACCTTGATTTTAGATTTCTATACAAATGAACACCACAAAGTCCATGAAAAGCATATGAGAAACACCTTCTAACAGCGTTGTCAATTGAGTTTGCCCTATCGGATATGATTGTCAGATTGCTAATAGGACCTATGCAATCCCTAAGATGCCCCATAAACCATGTCCATGAATCAGAGGTTTCAGATTTGCCAACCCCGTAAGCTATTGGCAGTATCCCATTGTTAGCATCCATGGCTACTGCTAATAAGTTTACTCCAAGGTATCGACCTTTTAAATGTGCTCCGTCAACTATAATAACTGGGCGCATGCAATTAATAAACGAACGAATCTACAAAATCATATACACAAGAAATATAATCATTTAAATGTGAAATGCATGTAACTAACAAAAATGAGTCAACAAAATTATATTGATTTACTAACCGCAACACCAATGGCAATAAACAGCAACTCATAGCGTCCATCTCTATCTGTTTTTGATATGAGTTACCGACCCAGGATTTTTCAGCTTTAAATTGTGACAATAAGCCGGCAGTTGGGCAAACGATGCTTCTGGCGACCCCCTCAACAATTCCAAGGCATAACATTTGGCTTTCCAAGCTTGAGAATATGAGATACTAATCTTGAACCGAGCATTCATGTCAGTCATAATTTCATGTCCCCGATATACCCTACCATTCAAAAACATTAACTCAACCAGAAAACCACCCAACACCTTTTTGTTTGCCTGTCTATGGTGAGGAAAAACTTGGGTTATTGAACATGTATTATTATCAATAAAAGTCCTAACTTGAAACATTTCGTAATCTTTTATCCTCTTTGCAATCATACGCCACATACAGTTTTTGTCAATCATACACCTTGTTTCGAAACGATCTTTGCTTGATTTGTTAACTTTTAGTTGATAGCCATCTTCCACACATTTCGTATACAAAGCTATCTTCAAGTCTTCCTTTGTATCAAAACAATCATCTTTCTTGATACGGATAATTTTTGTGTAACAATCAACTGCTATCTTTACCAACTCTTCTTCCGGTATCTGAAGTAATTATGGCATATTCCAGTTATACTCCCGTGACATTTTCTTCGGGGACTTTTCTTTGGGGATTTCTTCTTCTTCTTCTTCTTCTTCAGTGTTATATGAATTACATAATAGATGTTCAACATGTTCATTTACAGTCGTAACTTCCTCCTCATTATCATCAACAACATCTTCCTCGGCAACGGCTGTTTTATCATCAAAATTCGGGTATTGACCAATATCAAAATCATTACACGCAGGGTCTGTTTCTTCTTCTGAAAAATCATCAAAATCCGAGTATTGACCATGATCAAAGTCCGGGTATTGACCAAGATCAAATTTCGAATACTGACTAGTACTCACAATTTTTTCTGTTGGCTCATCATCGTCTAACTGGTCAATACGAAAACCGGAATTTGGTGCTGAAAGTTGATTGGGATTTGGATTAGGGAAAGGTTGTGGGTTCTGAGATTGTGTTTGATATTGGAAATGTGGTAAAACAATATTTGTTTGGTGATGAAATTATGGTGGAACCATTAAATTTTGAGCACCATAAACTGGGGTTGAAAAACTTAGTTGATTACTACCCGCTACTGACCCAACTTCACTACTTCTAGGTTCAACAACATACAATGTAACATCATCACTTGAAACACTAATGTAAGCAATGAATCGTTCAACATCTTCATTGTCGGTTAACAAATAAACTTTACCATTTCTCTGATAAGATAGCCTAAATCCACTTAGGGGCTCTAAATTCAATTTATTTGCAACACGTAACATTAGAGTTTCATAAGTTAACTTTTTTAATGACAGTTTTAGTTGAAGATTCATGGGTAAAGGCATATTTTGTAAAACACCATGAACATTCTCTCATGACCCTCCAAAACACAAATCTATCCAAACATGATCAACATTAGATGATTTCATTATTGTAAATTAATTTACTAAACAAACGAGCTGCGAAACTAAAACCTGTTGTCGGATGGGGAATGATGTCGTTGGATATAGGAACGGATGTCGCCGGAGAGAGTGATAGATGGAGATGGAATGAGTTGCGATTTAGGGATTTAGGTTATGAGTTGATGCTGCTGCGTAGTTATATACCCAAAACATTTGTGTTGCGAAATTAAAACCTGTTGTGAATTCAGAAATCGAGTTGCGAATTTGAAATTCAGTATTGCGATAGTCAGAATCTCGTTGCGATTTACATATTCGCATTGCGATTTTCCATTTCGCAACGCGAATTTGGGAAATCGCAATACGATAGTCAGAATCGCGTTACGAATCTGGAAATTGATTTGCGATACCGGAGATCGCGTTGCGAATTATCGATTGCATTGCGATTTAGTTGGTCATTTTGGCAAATCCAAAAAAAGTTAGTTAAAATCGTATATTATAAGGCATTTTTTATCACTGAAGTTATTTTCTCTTTATAAATTCCATTTTGGATTCACACACTATCATGTTCGTCTCACCCCTTTCACGTTCATTAAACACAATAAAAAAATTAGAAATATTGTTCCGATAAAAGTAAGGAACATTATAAATCACTCAATTATACAATAATAAAAAATTTAATCAACGGCATTTTTAGTAGTATAAAACAATCACTAAAATTTTTAAATAATTATAAAATGTTTATTAAAATTTATCAAACTATTATAAAATAATTCTTAAACTTATCAAAATTTATGGTTATTTATCGTTACAAAAAATTATTTTATAACCATTTAATAGTTTAATGACCCTTTAACAATATTTGAGAATCCTTAATAAAAAAACACCACTTTTGCATAATTCAATAACCTTTAATAAATTTTGTTATTTTAATAATTATAATTAAAAAATATTTTATATATAATTAGACTGATAAATGAATAATCTTTAAACATACATATTACAATATTTACAAGCGCTGAAATTTCTCTTTAGAATATCAAAATTTTTGCATAAATCAATTTATCTTAGTGGTTAAGGAGATTATTTTTATTTCTATAGATCCTAGATTCGAGCACCATAGACTATAAAATTATTTGAGATTTCATTGTCAGATGATTTAGAATCTTTAAAACATACATTACTTATAATCACATTAGATTAATTAAAAAAATCTTAAAACTTCTTGTAAATAGATTTTTTTTTGTTTCAACGCATACAATCCCTAGACCCATATCCCTCACTCTTCTATATGCTTTAGTTTTATACTTCGAAATTTATTTGAGTTTAATTGAATTGGAACTCTAATTAAATTAATATTTTTATTTTTATTTAAAATTATATAATTCTTTATTATTCGATCCAAGTATAATACATTTTCATTATTTTCTTAAAAAGGTACGATATATTAATAATCTTTAAATTATGTTAAACTAACTTTTTAGTTAATATTTTTTTAATATTATAAAATAATTAATACATCGCAAATTCTCAGGACAACTTATTTTGTTTTCTCAACACTGTTGTATAAGCCACCAATATCGTCTCATCTCACGAATCGGACCACTTGTCGTTATTACATATATGAAAAAATTAACTCGAATAAAGGAAATGCACCACACGTCGTGGTAGTTTTATTTCGTAATTTTAAACTAATTAATTAAACTAATTTGATGTTTTATTATTTGATAAATTGTTTTGCATTTTTGCATTTAAAAATAATAATAATAAAGCTGAAGTTTTCGTCTTGATGGGACCACAATGAGTTAGAGCACGACTTGTGTCTTTTTCCCCACATTGACAGCTCATCATGTTTGATAGAGGGGACCACACACTGGTTTTGCCCCCTCACTCTTTTAAGTCTTTGTGCAGGGTCGTTCACGTTTTTTCGAGTGCCACGTTGGAATGTTCTTTGTCCGACACGTTCACTCATACCCCTCACGTTCCCGTCTCCCTTCCACTCTTCATTTCAACCATTTCTTCTTCTTTTTTTGCATTTGGATTTCAAGTTTGTTTTATTGGTTTAATTTATAGGATAAAATATATTAAATGTTATTGAACAATTTTAAATCATTTATTCTAATTATCATTTTTTAAAATTTAAATAATTTTTACATTTATTAAATTATTTTAGTATATCATTATAATATTATAATAATTGTTAAAATTTTATAAATTTAATGATCATTTTATAACAATTTGATAAATTTATATAATCGTTTTATAATAACTCCATAAATTTAATGATTTTTAAAAATCTAATAACTAAACAAAACCATTCAACAAATCACTTCTAATAAAGCTAGCTCAAAAGTTTATTCCAACATATTATAAAAGCAAGTAAATGAAATTATAATTTACTAGTAAGATTGATGTATTATGAAATATACGAAAATGACATCGGCCGATAAAAGATATAACACATGTCATAATTTAATTGGTTGTTAAAATATCCAATTTGAGACAAAATTCAAGTATCAAATCGATTTTTTTTAAACCAAACTCAGTTGCCAATTTGTATAATAATCTTTTAATATATCTAAAAACCAAACAACATACTGTAGGTCGAGCAATGGCAAAACTTGTAGGCAAACTTTGATTTCAGAAGCTGAAACAAACTGTAGACAATCAAAGCTTCATTTCTTCACAAACAACAGGCAACGAAATCAATCAAACAATCAATCAAGAAAAGATGGAATAATGCATTTAAGTAAAAGTAAATGATACAAACTCTGAGGAAGAAACCGCAAAACCCTTGAAGCTTCCATGGTAGCATTTATTTCATCTCAATGGCTTATATTCTTTCACCCCTTTTTCTTGATGACCAAACAACGTCCTTGAAACAAAAGGGCTTTCAGATTTATAAGTTTCAGCTTTGTTAGTTCAAGTTTTGTTGTCATTCACAAACTGTTAGTTCATGTTGCTGGCATTACCCCATCATTTGCAGCAAGGCTTTTTATTGGTACTCCCTTCGTCTAAGAACACGCCTAGTTCTTGACAGTGGTCAGAGTGAAATCCGCTCTATGGAGTTCTTAATCCGTGTCTGAATCCGTTAGTCTTCATTTGTCAAAAGAATCTGTTCGATCTAGTGGCTTCTGCTCCTCTGGAGGTTGAGTAGCCATATGCTCTTCTGGTTTCCCTCCATGGTTGCCTACTTCCACTTCTGTCTACTGAATAACTCTGAGCATCAGTAGCTGTTCTGGATGTGCCTCCGGTATGTTTCTTTTGCGCATTCCTCGACTCCTCTTCAAAATCGTACCTTGAGCGCTGCAAGAAGACATGATTGAAACCAAAGGAAAATAAATATGAAGATACAATTAGAATGCTCGTTGGCATATGACTTTGTGAAGAGTGACATGCAAAGTAGAGGAGGAACATGCGTAAAGTTGTATTAGCCTTCACTTTTAATCTAAATAATCCGAGATAATCAGTCAATACACGGAGCAGTTCGACAGAGTTTCTCATGTATAAAGCAACTAAGGCAATACCTAATTCATTTGAGGAACACATCAAATTTAATCGAAGAAACATGAAATGGTGATAACAAAAAGGTTTCACTATTTTATTCATAGAGGAATTCCTATTAAACCAAGTTATTTGGATTCAGATGCATCTTATACGGATATGTAACCCGACATATAGGTATACTCCACATTTTACAAGTTTTACCTTAACTGGGTCTGAAAGTATCGCGTACGCCTTTCCAATTATCTTAAATAATTTGTCAGCATCCTTGTAGGCCTCTTCTCTTATCTCCTTCCAAAGCCTGTCATCTCCATTTTCATGTCTTACAAGGGATTGAACAGCCTACATAAATAAAAAATAAAAACAAAAGCTTGTCAGATTTGCATGAACTCCTTGGAATATGCATGACGAAGCAGATATAAAAAACCTTGTCAGGATGATGTCTAAGAGCAGCTTTCCGATATGCCTTCTTAATATCAGCTGCTGAAACAGATGGTTTGACCCCCCTGCCATTACAATTAAAATAAAAAATTTGGCAAATTCTAATATGGTTCTTGATCCATAATCCAAAAATATGGCTCCGAGAAAGCTAAATAGATAACAAAACATTGCAAAACTTGCTACTTTTCCTCTGCTATATTGTCCAATAAAGATGACTACAATACTTTAACTTCCCATGGTGAAATCTAACATTTACAACCCCGATAATAATATTTGAAAAGGTTTAAAGAAAATTTAATATGATATTAATCCAAAGAAGTGGCCTCGAGAATCTATATTCATATGAACCTCGATGCATTCTAGACGCCAAAAATAATGACAAATCAATTATAAACTTACAAAATCAGATAGAAATCCAGAGGGACTTCCTTTTTGCCTTCTTCCTTAATTTCAGAAAGCCACAAACGAGCTTGTCTCAAGTCATTTGCCAAGTTCTTTGGTCTGTCAGATGTTCCAGATTGATTGGTCTTTGTTTCCATTTTGATTCATGAGAAGAGAAATAAATCTTTCAATATCACTGGCTGCTTGCCCATAGTCTCTAATCATCTCATATAAAGTAGCTCGTCTAGAAATCGCCTGCAAAAGTGTAAACCAAAAACTATATTACCAAGAGGAAAAAGTACCAACGGTCTTATCAGGCATTAAAATTTACATTTCTTAATTCCATAAATCACTTTCTTAAATATAGAACCTAAGTCAGCACAACAATGACACCATCCAGGCAGTCCTACAAATTAAGCTTGAGAATGTGCGTAGTAGCTAGGTTTAAATTCTCCAATTTCATATTTTACATATGATGACCATTTGATTTGAGATACTCGTTTTTCTTTTTCAATCATAAGGAAAATAAAATGGACTTAGCTTCATCTCTCAATTCAAATTCCTCCCATTTCTTCTAAACTCATATTCATATGCATGGGCGTAAAAGATATCAGTTTGCAGAACAACCTTCAAATAATTTCTATCAAGTGCTATGGCAAGGCTGCAATCAGCAATTGCATCAGTGAATTGAACCAGAGCTTTATATGCTGCAGCACGATTGCAGAAACAAATAGCTGCAAAAGGCCGGGACTCCATATTTCCTGATAAAGCAGCAGTATAATGTTCGACAGCTTCTGAGTGCCTTCCGGATTGATATGCCTTATTCCCTGCAGCCTGCAGATAGAAGAAAAAACTAAATTTTGATACCTAACTTTTTTATCTATACACCCATAAAGCAAACGAGACTTCTGACAAAAAAATATAGTTGAAAGAAGACACTAGTTTTCTAGGCACCAGTTGGATCTAGTTACAAATTCTGAGTACTAGTTCCACTTCAGGATGGCAGTGGGGCATTTTGTTATCAAAAAACAATTATGCTTTAAACTCGTAGTTTTTCAAGACCATTTTTTCTTTTATATTTAAACACTTGTTTGCCTTTTGGTTCTGAAAGAAAAGAAAAATAGCAGTGGAAGCAAGTTCCCAATAAAAGCCAACTCAATGAATATTTCAACAATTTAGGTAGCAATAAAACTTTGGAAATCTTCTATAAGCAATGAGAAGAAATAATGCTTCTACATGTTGCATGCTCAAAAGTCAACCACACTGCCTAAAGAACAAAAATAGCAACCACAGAAACAAAAGCACAATGTCGGGCAGAACTGTGCATGAACTAGTAAATGCTTCTAAGCGCAAAAGGTATGTCAAGGAAATACCTTATGATTCAAGAGCTCGCGGACAGTGGCAGCCAAAGGAATTGATGTTTCCAAACTGTTGCTTCCATCCCTGGACAGACCCAAATTGTACTATACTGTTGTATCACAGTGCATACATCGATGTATTGAATGAGTGAAGGGCACAGAAGCTTACCTATCCTTGGAGGATTGCAATTGTTCTTGCTTCTCCAGCAAAGCAATAGCCTCTTCAAGCTTTCCTAGATGAAAGTAAGCTTTGAAGATCATTCGGCACCGCCAAATTCTAAAAGTTAAGTCCTTTGAGAAGCCAGAACTATCCAGATTGACCATTTGCCCATTGCAATCAAATGATAACGAATTCTTTTCAGCCAAATCAAATGTCTGCTCACACAGCTGAATTACCTCTTCATATTTGTGCAGCTGCAAGATTACAAAAAATTGTTATTTGGTTCCAACAATCCACCTGAGGTTCAACATATGCTTAAATAAACAATAAACTATCTACTTTCACATGTTCCACATTTAGACAAGTATATATATGAATAAACATACAATGAAAAGGGCTTCTGCTTTCATTTCAAGTAATTTTTCCGAGCACGAGCTTATTTTCAAGGCCTCAGCAATTAGTTCCAGAGCATTCTCGGCATCACCAGATGCTCTTCTTTGCAAAAGTTCAGCAGAGCGGTGCATGTATTCAGACAATTTCTGTAATAAAGGAAACCAATCATCAGTCACATTATCATCACCTCAAATAAACCAGCATTTTTTCATTTGTTTCTAAAGAATAAACTGCAAATCCTGATTAATGTTAAAATTAAGACCACGTAGAATCACCTGAAGAGAACAAAAAGGGGGCAAGAGTATATTAGTTTGCCTCAAAATAATAATAACAATAAGCACCTGTGACTTTTGCAGGCCATCAGAGGCTTCTAATGCAATTTTTCGGTCCACGCAAACGTCAGTTCCAGACTGTACGCACTTCCTGAAATATTGCGTCGAGTTCTCAACTTCTCCAAGGGCAAGGTAGCAACTTGAAGGAAAAGAATAAAGAAAGAGGCCCATGTTAGGAGCTATAAGAGAAATCCAATAACAAACATGAATCAAACTAATACCAAGCTACCGGAACTGGATTACAACACAGAGCTCCAAAGAGAGACAGATATGTAGGAAATGGAAAAACATAATTGGTAATTTAACTGCCTGGAAATGCATATTTATCACTATAAAAGGGCAAATTAAAATGAAAGGTTAAGATTAAAATAAGCACCAGAGAAGAAACTGTAAAAAGTTAAAAAAAAAATACTCTATAAATCCTCATAGGAAGACTTTAAAGCAAAAATGAATTTCTCAATCTTGAATAACTAAAGTGTATAAAATAATTTATACAGTTGAAACAGAATTACATACAACTCCAGAACAGTGGCGAATCAAATTAAAGAAAATTAAACAAATGCAGAGCCTTACTTGGCTGCTCTAAGTTGAACCCTTGAGAAGTTGGGATCTATTGCAATAGCCATCATGCAATCTCCTAGAGCATCTTTCATTCTTCCAAGAGACATATGTGTAGCTGCACGGTTGCTATAGCACAGCATCAGTGCCTGAAGGCAGCTTTTAGATGTCTCGCTAGCAGGAATACAACTTATCCCTTGTGTATAATATTCCTCAGCTTTTGGATGAATTTCCGTTTGCATAGGCTTGATTTCCCCTGGTATATACAAGATGGATGTCATCAAATTACAATAAGGATCAAATATGATCTATATGAACCAATGGATTATTAGTCTACTTAAAAACAATATGTTTTAAAAGAATGAAGGTAAATTATCAAAAACGAATAATAACCTTAATCGCCACTTTTCACATGATTCCTGAACTGCATTGCTTTCACCAGTCAAATGAGGTTCATGTTTGATCTCTGGTCCTTTGTCCGACACAGAATTCACTCCAACCTTGCTTTGCAAAGTAGATAAAATTGTTTTCTGGCCTTTCCAGGGAGATAAATGCACTGAAACCCCAGGGTACGGAGAAAACTGTGCAGAGGATGATTCACAAGGAATTCTCACATTTGAACTGCAATAAGGAGTATCAAAAGAAATTTTAGCCAAATTCTTCTTTCTGTTGTGGTGTATTGGCGATGATGTTTGACTCTGAGCTGAAGAAGATGCAGCAAAGGTGAAGTCACACCCACTTATATGTTCTGGAATAGAAGTGGAAGAAAAGTACATATGGGTGTCACTGTCTTGTCTCTCAATATTTGTTCTAGAAGTAACTTTCTTTTCAGCTGAGATAAGAGCAATATCACTGTTATCATCTATCTCCTCAGCAGCAGATATAAAGCTTTCGGTTTCAGCCCCCGACACAGAATCTTCTTGAGGAGCTTCAGTAGCAACAGCTTTATCAAAAACATCACCATGACCCTCCATTTTTATTTCCTCATCTTTCTCATCCCCTTCATTTATAATCATATGCTGTGTTGCAGCAACCAGGTCCTCATCTATTGCATCACTTGAAACTGCTGGTTGTGAACCACTGGATGCAGATTTAACCCAATGACTGAAAGACTCATCTGAAGCTACAGAAGATTCTCTGGAACATCGAGTATCAGCTAGGGTCTCCTGATATGGTGAGACATCCATTGGTGAATAAGACTCAGAAGCCTCTGCATCATCTTTTGCACCAGCTTTACTGGAAACAATGTCTGGTCCAGGCCATAGTTGGACTGGTGTAGGGTGCTTCAACTTTCCTTTCCTTCTCTTGACTGTTGTGCTTTTACCGGTTTCTTTTTTGGCACTGAATTCTAATTTCTTATTTAGGCCAAAGAACATATTTGCTTGTGTCTGTGGAGTTTTGAATTCTACAAAGGGTGTGTGTATAGGATCTTGTTTAGCTGTGAAACAAAACTCATCTCTCTTTTCTGGTTTATCAGAACTCAAGCCAAAGGAACCTACACCAGGCTGGAAATGCATTGCACTGGCCGAAAATGAAGTTGGTAATACCGTAGCTCCACCAGGTCCAATATTACTTTTTGGTTGATCAATATGAACTTTACTACTTGGATATAAACCCGGTGTTGCTGCCTGGAAAACAGATTCTTTGTGAACTAAATTGCCAAACCCTTCGAGCTTCTTATCATCCAACTTGGCGGTTCGTACATCCTTTCCAAAGATTTGCGAAGAAGAAAAAATCCCGTCTGTTTGACCAGTAGAATCTCCCGTTACACTCCCAATATTCAACTTCCTCTCCATATCAGTTGACAATACCTTTTCACTTTCCCCACCAAGTTGACGTGATCTTTCACCACTCCTAAAGACAAAATTACCTCTCTCATTGGTATTGCTATCATCAGACCGCTTTATGTTCAAATTCTTAATCCGGTCTTGAACTGCATCTGTTGAGCTTTCGACAGAAGAATCGCTGCCTTTTCCACCCGTAAATACAAATACCTTCTTACTTCCATCATTGACGTCCTCACTGCTTTTAATATTCAACTTGTTCTGCAACTCATTCTGAAGTTCCTCGGTTTCCACACCTCTTCCAACATAACTATCGACATTGCTATCATTCCCATTGCCCTTATCACTCTTCGAAGGGTCCTGAATGTTCAACATCCTTATATCATCCGGAAGCTTCAAAGCTAAGCTTTGATCATCTAAACCCCAACTCTTCCCGATTCTCAAATTCCTCATTTCCTCCACAACTCCCCCCTCTAAATTCCCACCCAAATTACTCCCATCAGATGGGATAGGGCCGGGAACACCGGAAACATGCCAAAACGAATTGAAACCGTGGCCTACCTGGGTTCCTAAATTGTCTGAAGAATTCAAATTATTGGGATTCAATTGCTTTCTATTTTTGACAGACTTTGGCCTAGCAAGGACCGCCGATTGTCGTTGTAAGGAAGGTGTATTGAAGCTAAAACCGGGATTATTAGGGGTGGAATTCGAAAACCCAGAATTAAAATTACCTTGGAAACCAAAACTAGAAGATGGGTTCATTTTCCCTAGTGAAGATTCCAACTGATAAACAGAAAAAGACCCAAAGGAATTCAATGTGAAAGGAACGGAAGAAATCTGACCATTGGGTGTTGAAGAAGCTGCTCCTCCAGGGTCTATTAACGCGGGCGACATGCCAACATTGGAATCATCAAATCCAACTGCTATCCATCTGTTCGGATTGAAAGATCGGATTCCTTGATTGATCAAAAGGTCGCCTGATGGTAAGGTTGTTTTTGGGGTTTTATTTCATTGATGAACAAAAACAAATAAATGAAAAATAATCAAATAATGCAAGGTCTAGATAAAGATGGGTCAATGTTAAATTATGAATTAAGGGTTTTTTTTTTCTTTTTTATTGTAAGTAGATAAATTAATGCATTCATATTTCCCATAGTTTCTGGATGAGAATCTTTTAAATCATGAATTTTAGATTAAACTGGAAAACATTTAACAGAAAAAAAGTCTTTAAAAATTAAAATTAAGTATTTTATCGATTAAATTTAAATTTAAATTTAAATTATAATTTAGTCTCTCGAGTATACCTTTTTATATCTTATTTTTTTTATTTCAATTTGTCTTCTACACTCATTTTTATCTCATTTTACTTTAATGTATTTTACTTTATCGTAAAAAAATCGATTAATAATGTGACAAAACGATATATTACTGTTGGACACCGATATTTTATTTTGAAAAAAGTTAAGGAAAATATAATTTAAGAGAAAAAATATTTTAGACTGCAAAATGGGAGAAAATAAAGAAATATTGATACTCTAAAATTATTTAAGAAATTACGATGTTTTCTATAGTAAATATCAAAGTCGTTTTCGGATGTTGACTTCTTGGATAAATTTAGATAGGGACTAAACTGAATTAAAAAAACAGATAGAGATTAAGTTAAATGAAAAAAATGGGAATAAAATAAGTTAATTGATATATAATTTTGATATCAATTAATTATGATCAAAGATATGAACCATAGTTCTGCAGACAAAAAACAAAGGGTTGCCCAACATGATTGAAGCTTTAGCCTATTTTCCCATTACACTTGCCCCATGGGCCTTATGTTTTGCTATTTATATTTTTCTTTAAAAAACTTTATTCAAATTTCTATCCATTTTGCAATTCTCATCCGTCCTAATTATAATAATCCGTCTATTCATATTTTTGATGATCTTGCCCTCGTGGTATATTTACATGTATACTCCTTCGCCATTATGATTTCATATCTAAAAGTATCAAATTCACTCCAACATTACATTTCCCCTATTCTGATCTGATTTAGTAAGTACGGCACGATGATATTAATTATTTAAATCACATAGACATCAATTTAAGTATTATCAATATACTTTTATGTTGTTCATTAAATTAGGCTTTTTAGTGATCATTTTACTCTAACCAACCATTAATCAAATATTCACCCATCTCTAAATTATTACCTACCATCTTATTTGAACTACCGTCTCCTTCATCTCTCGTATCATCCTCAATTAAATGAAGATCACCATCGAACTCGTACTCACCTCTATTCCTTTCATCATCAAGCCCGGACAGTCATCCCTAAAACTTTCAACAACCTTACTTGACAAATAAAAAAACAACCATCCGTTGCAGCAGGAGGGGGAAATGGAAAACAAAAGAAGAAATAAAAACAATAATAAAAAAAAAAGAAACTCACCTTCGACATTGGTGAATCTCCAAAAATTGAAATCTTTGACTGAGGATCATAGCGGTAGAAAGGTCACTCTTAAGGCATGGAACAATATACCTATGTTCAGGCTCTAGTCAATGATAGGTGTCAGATAACACAAATTTGAAATATTCAATGGTAGTTTAAGTTTGAAGTGTTTTTTATCAAACGAACATTAGATTTGTAATCAGGAGAGTGAAACGAGTTTAATGAAAAAAATTTAAGACTCGACGACCATTAACGACGATGATTGATGGTAGTTGGAATGTCAAATGGTGGAATGGTTGGTCATCATAAGCGGTGACCAAAATATGGTTTGATTTAGGCAGAAGGAGAGAAAATGAGATGAAAAAAAAGGAGGAGAAAAGTAAATAAAATAAGAAAAAAAATGGCTTTTATAAGGTTGAAAACGATGCCATGTTGATGTAAAATTTAATTTTTGTAAGAACCTATAACAATGTCATTTTGATCCAAACTACCATGTCATCCCAGTCTTCCTAATTTAATGGTAGAATAACAAAAAAAATAAAAATTTTAATAATCAATTAAACCAAATGATCAATACATAAATAATACTAAAGTTAATGATGAAAAATGTAATTTACTCATTTTTCTTTTTTTATATAATTGAAGATTACTATCTTAACCTTGAGGTCGTGGGATCGAGTCCCACGGAGGGCATTTCATAATTCGGAGGTCTCTTACGGAAGCTGCTCTCAACCCTGGTGTTGGGGGTAGCCTACTATCTTACCTCCCCCTTACCCCATATATATGGGAAAAAGGGACAGCCATTTTTTTTTGAAGATTACATATGAGATTAGTATAATATAAAAACCCAAAAGAGGGTAAATGATTGAATGGGGCCCTATCGAAGAAAAGTTATCATGGCTTAAAGCCTAAGTAGGAAATGTTGTAGCTGTGTACTAATTTTGATAGCTGTAACATTGTTGTCCCCCACAAACACACGTTACCATCTAACATATTTGGTATTATTTAAATCAAATAAGATGAAATGTTATGCATGTTTATATTTTAATTTTAAAATAAACACTTCAAATATAATTTTCATAATTATTCTAACATCTTACGAACAAAATAGTTATCAATTTCAAAAGAGAAATTATCCTAATTTTCAAGTAAATTTAACCCAAACCCAAAGATAACTTTTTTAATAAAAAATACAAATATAATTATAACATATTTTCTTTGAGTGCTCTTTTGCTATTAATATTTGGAAAGCCATTCTTGGTCGTTGCAGGTTGCGTAGGGAGGTGCAAGAAGTGAGGCTTGTATCTTAATTTGCTCCATTCGGGGAAAAGGAAATTATAGGAATTTTTACGGGTATAGGCAGGGACTGAGGATATATGTACAGTTATTCGGGAGATTGTTAGAGCTACGACTCTCGACGAAATGTATGGATAGTTGGATTTTGTTAATACTCAATTATGTATAGATTGAGGGTTGGATTAAGCTTCGGTTTTGATGCTCAAATTGATTATAACACCTTGTGTTACATATAAAACTAACACTTATCCCAAAAATTGATTAATATATTTAAATAGTTATAACTATGATAATCTATTAAAAATGAGAGATTAGACTTACAATTAAAATATTTTCATGCTAAAATTTTAATAAGTTCATATATAACTCAAACATAATAAAAATTAAAACTAAAATCCAAAATTTTTATAAATATGAATTAGTAAAAGAAAAAAAAAAACAAATCAATATGTAATAGTTTAAAAATTACAAATCATGCCATTGAAAATTAAATACTGATCACCTGAAATCCAAACCATTGATAATAGTATAATTGTTTTGATTAAGACAAGGTGACAACAATTGACTACTGAGTTTAACAATAAAAAGACAGACTAAAATAATCAGAAAACTCGCTTTCAGATTTGGCACAATATTGCCTATATATATAAAGTTAGCCAGCTAAGTTGCATGAAGATTGGGGCAAATGATATAGACCATGATATCTATAACTTGAAAATCAATACGAATATATAATTTAATATGAATTTTATTTTTTTTCTCTAAAATCCTTATATTTAAAAGTCATCTTCATACTCGTATTTTTAAAATGGATTTTTTTTCTCTTTAAATAATTTGAGATGATTACAGGATAATATATGTTCATAATTTTTTTAATCATTAACAGCGCACACTTAACCTGTAAACTCAAAACCTTAAGACAAAGGAAAAGATCTTTAAATAATAGATTTTACTAAACAAAACATGTAATAAATGTTAAAACCACCAAGAAAGAAGGGGGCAGATTTGCATGTGTTAATGTGGTAGGGGGTCCATTAAAAAAAATAATGTGGTAGGGGGAGCAATTTGAAATAAAGGTTGGGTGTCCATGTAGCACAAGCATTTAACGCATACTGTTACATGTAGACCAACATGGTTTAATACTATGCTAAAAACAACATTAGGGTACCAACTCCCATAATCCCATGCAAAATATTGTCGAATTCCACCGTAATCAATTAATAAATTATATACGAGAAATATTTAACCAAAAAATAAAAAGGAATAAAAGACAAAATGAATGCCATACAGATACCACTGATGTAAAATTGTCGGATCCCTCCCCCATGTGACAATGTGGCCCCTTGCCCTAAAATCTCCTTTAATCACATGATTCAACCACCTTTGTTTCTTTTTCTGAAAAACATTTTCATGTTCTGTAATAACAAGATACTGTCAAACTAAACATTAACAATAAAAACATAATAATAAAAAAACGAGGGTCAGAGTTTCATCTCTTCTCCTATAGGTCATTATATCAGTACAAGAGTTATTTTTATAATATTATCATCCATACAGGTTTCATTCATAGATCCTTTTGTACAACTCATTTTGTAAAAAAGGATGGTAAAAAGGGTAAAAACACAAAGAAAAACAGTAGCTATTACAGTATCACATAGGATAAGTTACTACTAGAGCAAGAAGCTTTATATTGAACTGTTTTTGCTGTGTGGTCCAAGCAAAGAGAAAGACCCCACTCCCCTTAAACCAGTTCCGCTGTCCTTTACCTATACATTTATGTATTTTTATTTCATGGTGGTGGTGGTGGTGGTGGTGGTGGCGGCGGCAGCGGCAGCAGCGACGGTGGTAGTGGTGGTGCAATCTTGTCTACATATCTTTTTCTTCTTTGTTTTTAGGTATGCCTTTGGCTATACAGCTAGAGGATTGCTCTATTTGTTCTTTTTTTCTTATAATATTCTTCTTCCTTGTATTATCTTTCTGCAAAATGTTAGAAAAAGAACAACAGTTTCAGCATCATGAAGAAAAAAAAAACATTAAATTTGGACAAGCATTTCCAACAACCTTAACTTACCATGGCAAAGTTAAGTTTTCCTCCTTTGCTGGGCATGTTGAGAGCTTCTACAGCTCCTTGGTTACATTCCGACAGCGCCTTGCTCGGAAGAAAATCTTCATAGCCGAATGAAAATATCATTAATTAGCTTCCCTTTTTTGTCTTTGGAATTGTAATAAAGGGAAAGGGTTATGTTATTACCTAGGGAGTTGTAGAAAGCATGATTTAAGTGAAGCCATATTGAGGCCGGAGGTGTTGGCCAGCTGAGGGTTACCGTTAGAAGATGAGGCCGAACTCGCGGTTTTGTTGTCGGCCTCGGTAAAAGATGTAGTGAAGACGGTGAGGTTATCCCCGGTCGATTTCTTAGGTGATGCAAACAGGTTATCCGGGAGAATATGCTCCAAGCTGTTCATATGACAAAAGCTTTTATCAATAATGCCAACAAAGAATGAATATGCATAAGCATCCGTTCAAAACGATCACCGAGGTTTCGGAACGTGAACATTCTGTTTCGTGTTTTGGGTATCTACATCTAAATGACATTCTTTTTATACCTTTCGGGGAAGTCGTTTTCTTCCGTGTTGACTTTCTCCTTATTAATAGCATGTTCATTGTCGTTTTTATGATTACACGACAGATTAACTTCCTCAAGCAGCTTATCCGCATTGGCAGCAGTTGTCAATTTGGGAGCAGCACCAATCGGGCTAACACTGTTATCTGTAGGACAAGCAAAAACAAACCGAATTGAATAATGGAGCATTGAAGTTATTTTTTAACTGTTCTCAATAATGTTAATATGTAACCTTCGGTAGTTTCTTGATCGAAGACATCGGATGGAAAAACACGCGCTTGATTGGTGGGAGTACGGGAAACGGTCAGCGAAGGAATGGGAGAGCCAGTGGACAAACCAGGATGGAATTGAGACGGGTGATGGTTTTTGAAGTCCAACAGCTGCAAGTTCATCAGCCTCCTTCGTTGAAGCTCCATGGCTTGCTGCAAATCGGCCTGCTCCTCCGATTTCTTTTGCAACATCTCTTGAGTATTGTAAAACATTCTTGATCCTGAACAAGTTCAAATCGAAACGAAAGAAAGCTAACAAACAAGTACTACAATTCCTGATAAATGCAAGTCTAGTCATTCTTTTTTTACTCACCGAGATGGAGATCAAATGGCTCCCGGGAATCCACCGGGGTCGGACTTGAGCATGCAGAATACTCTCCTCTCTCCAATTGTTGTTGCTTCCTAATCAATAAGATAAAATCATATCAATGCAGACAGAATGCAAACATAGAAAGATCTAACAATGGAACAAAAAATCTAGAGCTTTTACTTCTCTTGGACTTTGCCCTTCTCCTTGTAAGGCTTAACAAGAACACGAGAATCGCAGACAAAATGTGGGTTCCCTTTAGCCAAAATGAGCTTCACCGTCTCAGGATACATAAATGTAACAAACCCAAACATTCTCTTTTGCTGGTAAGGTATCCTAACATCTTGAACAGGTCCATAAATGCTATGAAAAAACACAAACAAACTTAAAATTCAACAATGGAAGCTCAAACGAGAAACAACAACATTGGCCGACATAAAGAAAAGAAGCTTATAAAATTACCTGAAGTAATTCGAAACATCTTCTTCTTTGAAAGTACTGTCAGCAGGAAATGTCAAATAAATCTGTCTAGAGCCTGGATTGGATCCCATTTCGGGTCGGCTCAGCTCATATTTGTGAAGCTCATCTCCCATCATCAATGCTGCCATTGCCGATCTGCCGGGAAAATAAACAAACCAATGGCAATGCCATGATAACGAGTTCAAGAAACTAAAGAAAAGTTATAATAAAACAAAGACAAACTCCATGCATTTCATTTACCTATGAGTTTCATTTTGTTGTTGCTGTAGAAGGAAATTAACACTCTTGTTGTAAGGAAAAGAAGCAGCACCGGGCACGAACAGTGAAGCCGAAGCAGCTAGCTTTTGTTGCTGTTGTTGTAGAGATTTCGATCTAAGCAGCTTTTGGAACTGTTCCAACTCGTTCATGTTAGTAACGGATTCAGCAGATTGATCTCCATGGATAAACCTACAGCTACTACCGTTCTTACAAAACCCTCTCGCAAAGTACAAACAAGGCTTGAACCCAAGCCCAGAATTCAGATCTTCAGCTCCTAAACCCATCCCTGGAACCGAGAAACTCCGCTTGTGCAAAGGAGAATCAGTGTAACCACCGGTTGGACTAGCTATTGAAGCCAAATCGAGCCTCGGGTAGAACAAATCTTCGGGCTTCGAATCGTTGAGGAATGAGAGATGGTCCTGGAACTGGTACTCACCGACGAGTTCATTGCTGTTGACGATACTAGCACTCCCATTAACGACACCGGCATACGAAAGAGGCGGGTTTTCGAAGGCATTGCCGGGGATGGACAAAGGACTCGGCCTTGAAGAGAAAGGGGAAGGAGACGAAGGCGTGGAAGGTGTTGGCGGGTTCGAAATGGAGAGTCCCAAGTGGGTTTTGGCCTTGAAGATCAAAGAGTGGATGAGTGCTTCGGGTCCCAAAGCTAAACGTATCATCTCTTTCTCGCCTTGGTCTTGAATGAGAAGATAACCCATGATTTTCGAAGTATTTTCCGGGTCCAAGTTTTGGATCCGAGAAAACACTATCCTCGTTGCTTCGTATGACTCCATGGAGAGAATCTCAAATACCCAGATTTTCTTTCTGAAGAGAAAAAAAACCTGAGCTCAAAATGCTGAAGCTAAACTAAACCCACTCTAGGGAAGAGAAAATAAAGAGGATAAGAGAGAGAAAGGAGTGGACTTTGCTTTCAAAAAGGCAATGATGGCGTGTGTGGGGGTATAATATTATATTTTTTGTAGAATTATTACGAAATCAGTACACAGAAATGCATTGAATTCAAGCTCAGTTTCTCTCCAAACCCACCAAAGAAATTCAAGGGGTGGGGGGGAACAAAAGCTTGGCGGAGAAGAAGACAGATGATGATGAAAAGGTGGGTTTTTTTTTAATGTTTTGATAATTCTGCAGATTTTCTCTCGCTGTCTTTCTTAATTTTAAGGGAAAAGAAAAGGAAATTTTGGAAATTAGAACAACAAGTTTTGATGGCAACCTTGGGAGAGTAAATTTCTCTAAATTCCTTTGTTTTTTTATTTAATTTTTCTAAAGAAAAAGAAAATGTTACTTTATGGTCTTAAAAATTGATTGTTTTGAAGAAGAGTGAGATTTGTCCCTTACAGAAATGGACAAAACAAGGCTGAGTGGGGGAGTAGATGCAGATCTGCTTCAATAAACATGAAAGGGAAATTTAATTGATAGATAATAGATATAAAAGGGAAAGTGGATTAGATTTTGCATTTGGTAATTTATTTAATTTTAATTTTAGTTTTTTTTTCATTAAAACCTTTTTTATCATTTTAATAATATAAATTTTAAAATCATATCACTTATCATAGTCTTTATTTAAATGATTTTAAAAATAATTTTTTCCAGTTTGAGATTAACGTTGACATCAATTAAAAGGATCAAGATTAAAAATATTATTGTGAAGTTTAAGGACTAAAAGTTAATTTATCCCAGTATAAATATAACATTAAAACATGAATATCATTCTTACATGAACCAATATATAAAAACCACATGAATTCTCACCTTGTTCCACCTAACCACTAACATTATTATCATATTGTAATAATTAATCATATTTGATCATTCAATCATTTTATATTGGATAAATGGATAATGTGGTACTCAATTACATTTTGTATTTCTATTTTAAATTTTTGGATAAATACTTATTATATTCATTTGAAAGAAATTATAATGTTTTTACAAACAAAATTTTCATTTAAATAAATAAATAAAATGTAGACTACAAAGACTTTCTCTTATCGTATTTGAGCACCCAAAGAAATATATATATATATATATATATATATATATATTGGATGTATTAAGAAAGATATACATTTCGTTATTGTAAGAAGTTTAAAATTAAAATGTCTATAATATTTTTTCTCAGATGCGAATTAAAAATGTATAATCATCAAATAAGTGATATTTTACTTTTACTCTATTGTTACAATCAGTACACAAAGGGTTAATTTTACAACTCAAACCGATAACCTATTCTTCATTTACAATTTATTCGAAATCGTAAATCATAAAAGAATATTGAAAATTTATCCTAAATTGTCTTGAACAAATATATATATATTTGGGGTCGCAGCATCATCGATAATACGTTGTTGGCTCAGGAGCTTGTGAAGGGCTACGCTCCGAACTTTATTTCGTCTCGTTGTGCCCTTAAAATAGATTTGTGGAAAGTTTTTGACAAGCTGAATTGGGATTTCATTCTTGTTATCCTTGAGGCTTTAGGCTTGCCTGATGTTTTTCGGGTTGGATTAAAGCTTGCTTGACTATTACTAGGTTCTCGATTGTGTTAAATGGTAGTTTGGTGGGGTTCTTTAAGGGAGGCAGAGGCATAAGGCAGTGGTTCCATTGTCCCCTTACCTTTTTGTTTTAGCTATGAATGATCTTTCGAAGCTGCTGGAAGTGGCTGCTTCTAGTTAGATTTTTCGCTTTCACCCTAAGTGCAAAAGAATTTGTTTAACTTCATTTGAGTTTTGCGGATGATCTCTTGATACTTTGCAAAGGTTCTTTGGATTTTGTTGTGGGGACTGAATGTGCCCTTGAGCTGTGTTACACTTGGTATGGTTTGAAGTTAAATGCTGTTAAGAATGAGCTTTATGCTTCGGGGATTGAAGATGATGGTTTGACTAAAATTTATAGGCTTTCAGGGTTTAAAATTGGCCACTTCCATGTTAGATACTTTGGCGTCCCCTGGTTACAAGAAAGTTAATTAAGAAGGATTGTTACTTGTTTATTGAAAGTATTAAGGCTAAGTTGGGATATTGGTATGGACTGAATCTTAGTTATGCTGATCGTATGCAGCTCATTCGTATTGTTATTGTTGGAATAGTCATTTTTTTGGAGCCTACAGCTAATCTTTCCTAAATCAGTTATTAGGATTATTGAACAACTTTGTGTCAGATTCTTTTGAAAGGGTTTGGATTCCTCAGCTTCGGGTGCAAAAGTTAGATGGACCCAGGTATGCTTGCCTAAATTAGAGGGTGGGCTTGGATTAAATGATCTTTGTACTTATAATAAAGCCTATTTGTTTTCTTTGATTCAAAATATTTAGGCAAATCATGGTTCTTTATGGGTTACATGGATTCATATGTAAGGTGGTCTTTTCATGAAAAAGATATTTATCTCTTATTTAAGAGATAAGCACGGGGTTGAATGATCATCTAGAAGCTTATTTTCTTCTCCTTCTTCTTTTCCCCGTAGGTCTCCATTAAAGGTAAGTTATATGTTTAGCTAATTATTTGTTAATTTTAAGATTAGGTTTTGATCATTAGAGGATAACTAAGCTTAAGGAAAGCTTAAGTTATCTTAAAATCAAAAGATGAAGAAGTTATGAAAGATTAAAGAAAATGAGTTTTTAAGTGAAATTTTGAATAAGAAGGTTTAAATGAACTTTGAGATGGAATTTGACTTGTCATGAGCATGAATAAGAAGTTATAAGTGTTAAAATTAAGTTTAGATAACATGAAAATTTTGGTATGATTCTTAGCTTTAAGAATTTGGATGAGATATGGGAGATAATAAAGTATTGGATTGATAAAAGTTAGTTAAAATGGTTATAGATGAGTTTAGTAGCATAATAAGGGATTTTATACATGAAAATTTGGGTGAAGTATTGATGAATTTTGGGTGAAAATAGCATATTATAGATAGGTGCATCGATACAGTATGAGTATGTACCGATGCACTAAGATAATTTTTGAAGGTGCATCGATGCAGTAAGGGGTGCATCGATGCATGGGAATTTCGAACCTAATTTGGGTACCGATGCACCCATAGTGCATCGGTACACTCCTAAAAGAAATTAGGAGTATGAGTTTATTAAATTAGTTTAAGTTAATATCATCGAAGTATAAGGTTTAGGCTTCTAATAATCATCTTGAAAATTATGTTTATGTAGATATTGAGCTTAAACGAATTCCGAAAAAAGTGACAAGTAATATTGATCGAGAGAATGACAAAGAGATATAGGTGAGTGCATATTATAAGTGTGGTACAATGTAATAAGACTTGTGATAAGTTTAATTCCTATGTTGATTTTCATAGCACAATAGTTATGAATATGCATACATGATAATTATTATGATACATGCATAAAGTATATATGTTCATATGATTTGATAAATGATATATGTAAATAGATGTAAATGCACATGTGATATGGTAAGTGATATGAGTTATGTGATCACAAGAGAAATGGCATGAATACATGAACATATGAAACATAAGAATAATTCCCATGGTATACGATATGAGAGCTATAGGTATAGTTGGCATGCCAAGAGTCGAGGGTTCTACGCGGTCCTTCGGGACATATATGTATCCTTTGGAACATTTACAGGGTCTTTTGAGACATATTTGATCCACTGGAATATGTATATGGTTCTTAAGGAGTGGTCATTCATGACAAATACAGTACATAGGTCATTTGGGACAAAATTTCATAGCCCCTAGTGAACCCCATACGAGCTGTGGTGACAGCAATAGTGCACAACCTCAATGTACTCGAATACCTTGAGTTCTCAAAAATATACATGGGCCTATAAAAGGTTATCAAAGGTAATTACATTGTTATAATTATATGTTACCATATTATTATTGTTTACATTGAATTGTATATGACATGATTGAATGGATAGATTGCATGTTCATATTCATACGAAATGCATTATTATTATATTTATATGTCTCATTAAGTCTATGACTTAGCGTGTAAGCGATTTACACGTAGGTACCGAGAAGCAAAGAGACCCATTATAAGCTCAGCAGAACAACATATCTCCACTTGAAGGTCAGATCAGAAGTAGATTATATAGTATGTTTTATGATGTGATAATAGGTTGACATGTAAACAAAATAGGTAAATTAAATATTTATGCTCTGATCGAGTTTTGTAATGTTTTAAACGTATTTATGTAAATGTAAATGCATAGTAATAAACAGTTAATTTTTTACGAGTTTTATGTACATTTTACGAAAATCACTGTAGCAGTGCATCGATGCACAATTTCCATTCGATATTTGGTGCATCAATGCACTGTAGCAATGCATCGATGCGTTGTATCAATGTTTATTACTGTTCACGGCACTGTTCATACAATATTTTACAGTTCATAAAACGTATATTTTCTTAAATTGGTTATAACGAACACAATTCAACAATGTACGATCGTATTTTCTTATTATAAGTTCAAATGTAATGAATTTTGTAAGAATATCGTTTTTTTAAGTTAATGTGACATCTCGGATTCGTATCCGGGTCGGGTACGGGTTGAGGTGTTACAACTCACTTATAGCAAGTTAGCACTAAAACAAACTTCAATTGGTGTGTGTGACGAATCCTTAAGGCTAGAGAGAAGGCTTTTGTATTGCTTGGGGGTGCGATTGACTAGAGTTTGATTACCACTGCATGGATATGGTCTAAGGTTTGGACGAGGAATGTTGTTGTTTGTTGGCATAGATTGGTGTGTTTCCTCTTCATATTCCCAAACACGCTATTATTGCTTGCCTTGCCATCTTGGGTTGCCTTTCAACAAAGGATCGATTGTTTTGTTGAGGGTTGGGGTTGATTGTTAGTGTGTGTTCTATGGACAGTCGGAGTCGCGAGACCACTTGTTTTTCTCTTACCCGTTCTCTAAGTTGGTTTGGAAAGGGTGCTAAGGTTATGTAATGTACACCGATTGGTCATGGATCGAGATCATGGACTCAATTGGGTTGTTTCTCTCCTTAAGGGTATGTCCTTGATTTCTTCTATTTTAAGAGTGGTGTGGAATGCTCATTTAAACTTTGTGTGGCTTGAACGGAATAATAGGATCTTTCAGTCTATCTCTAGCACAACTGATGGTGTTTTGAGTTAAAGTGGTTTAGGTCCAGTTTAGTAGAAATCGTCTTGTTCATGTAGATTTGGTTCATTCTCAATTATGTGGGGCTTGTGGTATCTCCCCTGGTGGGTGAGTATTGTTAGTTTTCCCCTGGTTTTGTTGGTTGTAGCAATTGATTTTACTTTCCTTTTGGGTAATAATATTTTCAAATTATCTATATATATATATATATATTTGTACAAATAATGCTAATACTAATATTTTCCAATGCTTTTAAAATTGAATAGATTGCTTCTTCTTCTCCTTTTTTTAGAGCCATATTTTAGGAATATAATAAGTGCCAATATGAACAAGGGAAATTTTGAAATATAATAATAAAAGAAATCAGTCAAATTATTAATTACTACTACAGAGCATGCACGTGAATAAAAAAAAGAATGGGGAAGTGAAATACACGCAAATTTAAGGAGCGTAGAAAAGGTAGACCTTCAGTTTCAAATTAGTGCACGTTCAGTTTGCATCTTTCTGACAAACTTCTTCTCCCGTACTGCGTTGATGTAATTTAAATTGGATTTTCATTCAACCAGCACAGTTCTGATTCTCTGCATGCTGTCCCATGGAACACCTCCAAAATCTCCTACTCTCCATCCCTTGATATCGTGGGGTATTTGAAAATGAGTGAGCGTTTGAAAATTCATTTTTCCCTTTTATAAAATTAAGTGATTTAATTTGAATTATAACATTTTAAATAAGTTCAACCAAATTAGGTGACTTCTAAAAGAATTACTATTTATCTTAAAATTTTTATGTTCGAATAATTACGGTTGTAAAATATATGTATTATAATGGTTAAAACTAAAAATATTAATCCATTCAATCAAATTATATAATATATGATTTTTTTAAAAATATTTGAAATATTTGTTTGACGGTCTCTTTAAAGGCGGGAGACATAGGTAATTTAAAAGATTTTGTGGGGGTTGTCAATGTCGTGGGCTCATTCATATTAACATATATACTGGTACAGGTGTCAGTATGGCCCAACTCACGGGTCCATATATGTACCAACTTGTCTTGAATCATAATAATAAGAGTAAAGCATACTAAATATCATTGAAATTTAGATCAAAGTATTATTTTTAGTAATATACTTTAAATTATTTAAATTTTAACGCTAGATGTTGGTTTCAGGTTGAATTAAACACTGAATCATTAAATAATTAACCTAGATGATAATATAGTTTGATATTGACATAAGATTTTAGATGATGAATCGATTTTTCTCATTAAATTCTTAAAATGTTTTAATTTTAAGCATTGAATTTTAATTTGTATATCAATTTTATTATTGTAGATCAATCGTCATTGGTCACCGACTACCATTCACGGTAAGATGAATACTAAAACATTCACATTTCATTCGTCTCTTTTCTCGTCAAATTGATTTTTTTTTCAAAACACTCAAAATTGATAAAAATTAATCCAAATGTTTAAACATTCTAGTTTTTTTTTAATGTATTCTAGGTGCTTATTTAAAAATTCGAACGGTGAGAAATATTTTTTTGAGAATATAAACAACATAACTCAAAACTAACTTCATCATACTACCGTCGGAGCAATTCAGAGCATTAGAACATTTAGATGAATTTTCATTATGTTTCAAAATGTTTTATTGAAAACTAATCGAGGAGAAAAAAGATGAGTGGAATGTAAATATTTTAGTACTAATATTGTCATAAATGACGACTAATGACAAAACAGTGATTGATCGATAATAACAACTATTTATAGACAATCATCAAATTGAAACATAAACTAAAATTTAGAGACAAAATTGATATACAAATTAAAGTCACGTAATAGAAAAATACCACATAACCATATACTTAACGATTTAACAATCCGGTGTTTGCATTGAACAGTAAATTAAAATATAGTGTTAAAATTAAAGAAATTGAAAATTCATCAATAAAATTGATACACAGATTAAATTTCATTGACGTGTTGTCTACCCTAATAATAATTTGAAGTACCAACGCCTGGCGGTACCTTGTAAAAAAAATGCTACTTCTCCGTTTCTTCTACTCTTCATTTTGATTACTTGGAGAAAACTGAACATATTTATATCTAACACAAGATCTGAGTTCGAACAACATTAGATCGCGGACAAACGACTTGGCCATTCAAGTTAGAGGTAAAACCAGATCAACGGAAGCAGTTAACAGTGTTGTGATTTTAAGGACTGCAAAGAATCTTGAGGTCTTCAGCTCTGGCAAACCAGGTTGGAACAAGCTTAGAAGCATGCGGATGAAGGTCTTTGTAGGAATTTCTTATTGTCCCTTCTGCCACTCCTGTTGCTACTGATATATCTACAGCTTAAATAAAGGAATCATACATACATGCATACATGCATTCATACATACATGTTTGTAATTTTTTCTAACCTTTGAGAAGCTTCTTATCGTCCGAGAGCTGGGTTATCATGTAAATAACAGCTGCTGCAATCGATATCGGGCTTCTCCTGTTACCAAAATTTGTTCAAGGTTATAATGGATAGGATTCAGATAAGAACTTTTGGATGTCTTATATTCGAATCTGGTTTAATTTTAGTTCAGATAATTTCAAATATATAGATATGTTTTTCGAATGAACAATGGGTTCGAATATTCGTATTCGAATCCGATCACATATTTGATTTACCTGATATCCAGCTCTTCAGATTTATGCACAGCCTCTTGAGCAGCCTTGACTGTTTGATTACTCATTCCAAGATGCGAGCAGAATCGTCTCTGTTAATTAATTTCCGAATCAATAAACCCGATCCACCGACTATCCGGAAAACTTAAAAATAATCTAGATACATCGCATTATGTTTAAATTTTGACGACAGATGACTTACGAGAAAGTCGCCGCCATGTATTGTGCCCATTTCCATGGACTGGCCCATCTCCACCTCCAATTGCTTCACGATGTACTCTTTCGCACGGCCGATTTCCTTCTTCGAGGCGCCGTTGACGACCGAGCATATCTCTGGTTCTCGATGTAGACGTGCGTTAGAGGATTCTAAACAATAATGGTGATAATTAATTAATAAAGATGTTAATTTTAGAGTTAATCGCATACCTTTGACAGTACGAGGTTTGTCTTCTTGTCTACAAGCAATGTAGAGACAAGCAGCCAAAATGGCATCCTGGTTTCTCCCTCTAAGTGGCTTTTGATCTTCCACTTTCTTGTATATTTCGTTTGCCCGATCCTTCATCAACTCAAAGTTTATACTCACATTAGTTGTCACAAATTACGTAAACTATAATACGAAATTATACTTTCAAAAAAAAAAAACTCATACAAGTAAATTGTGCACGAGCTGGATGTGCCAAAATCAATGGTGTGCTATCATCTCAAAATATTATCTATCCAAGAAACTTCGTACCTAACACACTTGTACTTTGTAAATACAATTGTTTAAAGTCAAGTCTTTTAGAGAGAACAACATTCTCTTTTATTATTGATACCTTTCAATTATTTCAACCATTGTTATTTGGATTTAAATATTTAATATTTAATATTTTTATAAATTCAAAATATTTTTAGAGGATAATATATATATATATATAAGTTATACACCGAGTATAAGATATTTCGAGGACTAAAAAGGAGAGAGTGAGGTACAAATACCCATCTTAACAATGAATAGTTCAATTAGTCCATTCTTGGCCCCTTCAAAAAATTAATTAAACAGAGACAAAAACAAACAAAAGGGTTAAGTTGGGTACCTTTATGGTTGCAACGAGGCCCAACCTGAAACACCAAAACAAATTACGTACGATCAGTTATGGTTGCAACAAAGCGGATTAAGATATTGTCGGGTGTCCTTAATCACCGACTTTTTCGACAGAACACAGGGCTGCCTCTTATTTGATATATATATAATTGTTCTTAAAAACATGCACAATTAACTACTGTCCATTGTAATCATTCACAAAACCCCACACACTTGACATAACAAAGCATCCATTCATGGTTAATTACAAGAACAAGAAACATTAAAAATGAAGAAACCGACAAACCTATCAGACATGGTGGCAATCGTCTTAAAGGACTGGATAAGGGAACGGTCGGGGTTGGCCCCACGGTTTTGCCATCGTCCCAGAGAGGAAGTAAAGAAGTCAGAAGAGGAGCCATTAGGGTTTGAAATGACAGTGGAGAGGCCGGCGTTGACCAGGAGTGGATTCGATGGACCACCAACACGGACTGGGTCGTTGTCGGCTGACTCATTGGCGAAGATTCGCCACTCGGAGGTCTCGTCGATGGAATGAGACTCTAGAACCAGACCACACTCGGAGCACACTGTGTCGCCGGCTGAGTGGTCGAACACAACCTCGGTTGGTCGCTTGCAATCCGGGCAGGAAGAGTCGGACATGTCGTGAAATAGTTTATCTTGTCATCACGTCGGTTTACTTTTTGTCGTTGGCGATGTTGGCTTAGAAATGTGTGAGTGGGTGAACTTATCCGGTTTTTCTTTCCAGGGGGTGGTTCGGTTGAGTGTGAGACTGGGTTTGCTACGACAATACTTGCAAGTTAAAAAAATCGGTATATTTCAAACCAGCACATACAAATAGTGGAAATCTTAAACTTTACTATCAGGGGTGTTTGGATGGGGATCGTGAGATTCCTATGGTAATAAAATTTATATTCTCTCGTTTGGTTAGTTTGAGAATCTCATTTCTGATAATATAAGATTATTAATAGTTGATTTTTTGGGGTATATTATCGGAAATATCATTACCTCTCTTTTCTTAGGTATTGTTGGATTACCGGCGTTTTGGACTAAAATGTCCTTAAATTTTTTTTTCTTTCAAAAATATCATTCTTCTGTCATTGAATAATAAAAATTCTACGAAGGTTAAATTACAAATTTATTCTTAAACTATTTTAGATTTACAAAAAAAAAATCTATAATTAAAATTTTATATGAAGTTTAGGAGTTAAAATAAAATTTTACCCTTTCATTAAACCTTTTCATATTTTTAATTTTGTAAAAAAAATTATATAAATTTTATGAATTTAATTTTTTAAAGAAAATATATAAATATTTTCCAATTTGTTAAAAAAATATATAATAAAGACAATTTAGTCAAATATACATTCCAATAATCTTTTATTCCTTTAACCAAACATGATAATCTTACATTCCTGCTAAGCCAACCAAACACAAAATACAACATTCCCAGTAATCTTATTCCCTGATAATCTTACATTTTCATTGGTAATCTTACATTCCGTAAACCAAACGAACCCTCAAGATTAACTTACTGTAAAATGTTCTCTTTCTATTTCTTACTTTTAAAATTTCAATTTAATTCGATATTAAAATAAAATAAACTTAATTGTCAATATATATATATATATATTACTATAATATTTTTATTAATATATATATTTAAAGACAATTACTGTATTCTCCTTTATAAACGTTTAGAACAAAATTTAATCCATAGCACATGAAAATACTAGTACATATTGTTGTCATAAGCATAGTAATAGTAGGGATGTCCATTTGTGGAGTTAGGTTGTACTTCTACTAAACCTGATTCGATCCGAAAATTATACATTTTTCATTTGATTTAAACTTGACTCGTCCTTTTAAGATAAAACTTAAATTCTACATGATCCGACCAAACCCGAAATAATATATTTATAAAAATATATTACTTTTATTTAATAAAAATAGGAATTTAATTAAATAAAAAATATATAAAAGGGTATTATTGAATTATCCTTAAATATATAAGGTAAAATTATATTTTTTTCGGATTGGGTCAGGTCAAATTTTTTTACCCTTACCCAAACCGGACCCGTCCCGAACACAACCTCTAAAAACTTGACCCGAATCCGATTTTTTTATAAAAACGGACATGATAAGATTAAATCGGGTCAAAACTCGTCGGATTTGAGTCCCGTGTCTATCCCTACGTATCAGGCATGCATTTTATAAGGAAAATATCTAAAAACAAACAGAATACGTTGCTATATTGTCTTTAAATGAAACAGGCGACAATGTCTTTGTCTCAATTCAGGTACAAAAAAAACAATATAGGAGAAGAAAACCTTTCTTTTATGGTTGTCTAAATACTACTGAAACCTGAGAAGATCATTCATGTTTACCCCAATGGTTAGGCCTATCCTAAATCCCGACATATGTATTTGTATACGATGAATCCTCTAATAAATACCGTTATCAGCAAACTTCCTTTCAAGGAACCGAGATTCAGAACGACGGTGATTGTTCCAACGGAACACAGATCATTCCAACACAGGATTCTCCTCTTCCTGTGCTTTCTGAATACCGACCAAGCGAGCATAATCCACCCACCTATAGGAGCGTTTTGGGAAATTACGAAAAAATTGAGAAGCTGTAGGCAATGAATGACTATACTATTGTAGCAAGTGAAAATTTTAGGATCGGTATCGAGTCTTACAATAGGGAACCTAAGTACGTGTTGCCTGTTCGAACAGCGAAGCATATTGCACTCAACATAAGCTTGTGCTTGTGTAGTAAAGGCTCCAACATCCGTTGTTCGATCACACCAGCCAGCACTTGGTACCTATTCATCAACACAACATCCTCCGTATTATCAGAATCGAACACTGCTGCTAATGATATTCATAAAGGCATTTCCACAGACAATAGAAAAATCCAAAGCCTTAAGGACTAATATTCACTAAAATATAAAACCTACGCACCTGAGGTTGCTAGAAATGGCCATATATACACCGTAGGCAACACTGGTAGATAATATGGGAACATTTTCGACTTCATCGGCGGAAGTCTTATCAACAGCCTTTCTCGCGTTTATCAAGGCATTTGTGGCAGCCGTGCCAACCTAAAAGGTTAGAAATTCCTTTAAATGCCAGAATATCCAGTTTGGGGATTTCAATTTGATAAATCAATTTGCAAAGATCAGTGATATTAATAAGATTCAAAAAAGGGGAAAAAGAGACTAATAGCTGCCGAAAACTTACCAGGGAAGAAGTAGTGCCTACTGCGAAAAGCTTAGCCCCGTTCCGCTGCACAGTGCATACAATTAATTAAAACACGAATGGTGGTTAGTTTGTTTATCAGTTGTCGAGATACCGTATCTTTTAAAATTTGAAGACAGTATAGAATTTCCTTACCATTACTGCACCTAATCTCTGCAAAAGCGAATACGAAGTCCCATGGAGAGCAACCTGCAGGCAGAATTTCATGATTGTAAGTCATTTTTTTTCTCATCTCAGAAAGACTGCAGGAAATTTCTATGCAACTTCATCAGCAATTATAAAGCATAAACCTGAAAAGCATTATCGGGGCAGCTATGGAAGAACTTGGAAATAATTCCAGCATTGAGTGCAAGAGGAGCCCGGAGAGAGACGGTAGGAGCAGGAAGATAAACAAGCATAAAATCTGCAATTATAGCCATTACCTAGAAAAACAAATCAGAACATAAGACGATAGAAATAACAGAGTTGGACAAATAATAATTCATATGTTATTGGCTAATGAATCACTCAAGATCAGGCAAAATATACATTATACAGCCATAAAACGAGTAATCCTCAAAATTTTCATTGAATTTAGCCAAACAATTCATCCTTGCTATTCAAAACAAAAGAAGTCCGAAAAGGCACATGATCGAAAGAAGCATTTCTGAGGTAAACAATCATACCACATCCGCAAATACAACTTCAAGCTCCTTGAAAAAGTTTTCTCTGCGACGATCATATTCTGCAGCAGTCTAGAAAAACAGGAGATTAACACAAGTATGACAGTAGTCAACCTTGAGATAACAAAACCAAATAAGTCACGCAGAATGGAGGAGTACACGAGAGACAGAGGTCAAGTCATTACACAATTACAATCATTTAAGAGTAGACCACCGCACGAGACGGAAATTTGGTTCAGTTGCTTAAACTAAGACTCAAATCAAGTAATTTTACTAGCTTACACCAGGAAGAGACGCCGATCGGTGATGATCACTGTTGACACAAGTAGGAACATGTAATCCTAAAAGAAACCAGTACTTACACAAGCAAGGCCGACGAACATTTAGTCAACTTCAAGCAAATCTCCACTCTATTAGTCCTTATATAGGCAATTATGTTTCTTTGAAAAATACATTTCGTTTCATTGATGATTGCCTCTAAGATTTTGACTTATATCTCAAAACTAACAGAAGGAAAATTACCCCAAAATTCATCTAATCGACAAAGGTCACAAGGAATTTTACTTATAACTTACAAATATAACCAAGATAAAACCACATTATAAATTTCGTAGCAAAATCTATATCGATTTATATAAATAAAACTAAGAACTCAAACTCAAAAGGCAGAATTTAAAACGGAAAAAAAAGAGAAAAAGAACCTTGGTGAAGATCCCGACGCCACATTCTATGCCAACTTTAGCTAAGAAAAGATCATCAGCCAAAAGCCTTTCTTTAAACCCGCCGAACTGCATCAACCAACGCATGATCCCCGACTTTTCAAGCCCATAAACCTCTCTATAACAGACCCGGGAACCTTTCCTGCTTGGATCCCCGCCGCCAAGTCCTTCGGCAGGCTCTCCATTGATCTCCCTGCCTCCGCCAGTATAATCATCGCCTCTCTCTTGTTCTCATCACCCGCATTCTCATCACTGCCGTTGCCTTTCCCATTGTCACTGTTCCACCTCCACCGCCCGATTTGTTGTTGTTGTTAATGTCACCGCCATCTCCGCTGGGAAGGGTGGAGAAAGTCGAGAATGGGGAAGGTCGGCGGTGGCGGAGACCGGTGGATGAGGAAGAAAGGCGGAGATGGAAACCGGTGGAGAGTTTAGGGGTCGGCTTAAAGGGAGGAGAGAAGGGTGGGAATGGGGTGAAAAGGAAGGCGGCAGTGGACATTGGTTACGGTGGCTGTTGGTGGCGGACTTTGTCAGAGTTTGATGAGTTGCTTCCCTTATTACGTTGTTTTCGGAGAAAAACGTGTTTGGATTGTCGTTGGTGGCCCAAACTTGACTATTAACAGAATTTATAAGGGTTTTGGCCACTCTAGTGTTAATTTTTTTTCCTACTCGAACATTCATCACGTGCAATTCACGCTCTTCCTATCCACCGTTTAATCCAACATCTGAATATTATTATTATTATAAAAAGGAACATATTATCGCCAAATCGAATTAATAATTGAATGTCAATTAAAATTAAAGTAAAAATAATATCTAAAAAATTAAATTCGAGATTTAAAGTAATTAATTTTTAATTATTGCATCAAGTTAAGTAATTATATATAACTTTAAAAATAATATATTCAGTCTAAACTTAAATATTAATTTTATCTAGTATATAATAATTACTTAATTTGATGTAACTGTTAATTGTTGATAATCTTATATTTTAGGGTCAGTCATCTTCAAACTCTTTTATATATTTCTTAAATTTCATAAAAATGATCGTATGTGTCAGATTAAATTTATTGATTTATTTAGAACTAAATGATGTTCAAATTAGAATAATTTTTTAATATTGAGGTTTTAAAATT